GGACGCCCGCGGACGCGCGCAGCAGCCCGGCCTCGCGGTCCCGCGTGCGGAAGGCGACCGAGAGGCCGCCGAGCGAGCGCCCCGACGACGCGTTGTGCCCGCTGAATGCGGCCGGGGGTCCCTCGCGGAACGTGGCCTCGGCCACACCTGCAGGGAGAGGGAGCGTCGGGGATGCCCTCCCGGCACCCACCCCTGGCCCCAGCCAGCGGGTGACGCCATCCGCTGGCCCCCACTCCCCCCGGGCCATCCAGAGTGGGGGCACACACACGCCTATCATCTAATCCCAGGATCTGCAGCCCCCACTGCCGTCGCTTCCCTTCCCTACCTCCCGAGAACCAGCTCTGGACCTCTGCTGGGGAGACCCTGCCCTACCGTGCCATCCTACTCTCCAGGTCACAGACCAGGCAATACAAACCCCTGGAAAAATTTGCCCCCCCCTCCTCAGTGAAGTTGCCCTGTCTTATCACCGAGGCTCAGTCTTCACTGCAGTCATCTTTTTTAAATTCATTTTTTTTAATGCTGATCACACATTTTAATAAAATGCAGTCATCTTTTAAAAATGCTGATCGTATCTTTCTCTTGCTTAAAACCCTCCCGTGGCTCCCCACTGCCCTTGGGGAAAAGTCCTGCTCCGCCTGGCCCAGCATTCAAGGCCCCTGGCAACCTCTCCACCCCAATACCTGTACTTGTGTTTCAGTTCTTATAAACCTCAGGGCCTTTGCACATGCTATTGTCCCTCCCTGAAATGCCCTTCCCTAATGCCAGATCAGAGTCTTATTTACCCTTGAAAACCTAGTGAATGCTCTCTTCCTCCAGAAAGCCTGTCCCCTCTGAATGCAATGGCCCAACCACACTGGGCTGGGCTGTTGGCATCCTGGTCCACTGTCTCTGAGCCCTGAGGGTAGACGTGGGATCTAACCCAGTTTGGGTGTCCAGCACCCAGTATGTGGGCTGCCCAGGGCACACACTCACACACAAAGCCATCCGGGACCTCCTCGCAGGTGGCAGGCGGGAGGCAGGGCTGACCAGGACACCACAGCTGCTGGGCACACGTGGGCCCCGTGACATTGGCAGGGCAGGTGCAATGGAAGTCGTTCCAGGTGACAAGGCAAGTCCCACCATTGAGACAGGGGTCAGGCTGCGGGAAGAATCAGGGCAGGCACTGGCTCAGGCCTGGGGCCAGCAGCAGCCACCACAACCATCACTGCAGTGGTTCTTCACTGAGCGATAGGTTACCTCCTCACACACAGAGAGGAAGTCACCTCTCCCCACTACAGATGAGGAAACTGAGGCTCAGAGGGGCATAGCCACTTGCCTGAGTCACCCAGCCAGTACACAGAGGAGCTAGAGTTCAGACCCAGACTAGTGCTCTGTTTACGAACCCCTGGGTGTCCCGGTCCCCCAAGCAGCTCCTGCAGAAAGGCTCGGGCAGCCCTGTGCCTGGGTCAGGGTGTCCGTCTCAGACCAGGACTAGGGAGGAGGTACCGGGACCAGCAGAGGGCAAGAGCAGCTGGGCCGGAGAGGAGGTGACTGTGACTCCTGCCCTGCCACCTCCAGCAGTGGGGCCCCGGGCAGGCGCTTCCCCTCCTGGCACTGTCCTCGCCAGCAGAACACGCTAACCCCGAGAGACGCGGGGTAGACCCTGGGAAAAGGACCGGCCCCTTTTCCCCGGCACTCACACTGCACGTGTCCTCGGAGACGCAGCCCATGGTGAGGTTCCAGGACTGCCTGCTGCCCAGCTCCCCCGGCTGGCTTGAGTTCCCCAGTGGCAGCGGAAAGAAGGGGAGGTGGAGGCCATTGAGTCGCAGGTCCTGGAGGCAGCCTCGGAAGGGCCCACCCCAGGGCTGGGCGTCAGCAGGGAGGAGCCTCCCACCCACGTGCACCTGCTGCCCCAAGCCCTGCAGCTGGTCAGGGCCGAAGCTGAGCGTCACCAGGTGGCGGAGCCCGTCATCCCAGCGCCCGGGCAGCACCAGAGCAGGATTGCCCAGCGCCTCAGCCCAGATCTGGCCCTCGCTCAGGAACACGGTCAGGCCAGCAGCTGAGTCGTTGGCAAGTTGGAGCAGCAGGCCAGCAGGTTCCCGAGTGCGCAGGAGGAAGGACACAGTGAGGTTGGGGCCTGGCAGCTGGTCGAGCAAGAAGGAGGCAGAGCTCAGGGTGCCCCCCAAGCCAAAGGTGGCAGCAGGAACCTCTGTGGGGGAGAGGGTGCGGGTGTGAGTCCCTGGACTGGGGGGAAGGCACAGCCTCTGCCCCGGGGCCCCCTGGCTCGTTCTCACCATCAGCGCATGTGGGACCACTATAAGGCCGGGGACAGTCGCAATGGAAGTGAGTCCACAGGTCCACGCAGGTCCCTCCGTGGGCACAAGGCGGAGGCTGACACTGCTCACGGCGCTCGCAGCCCAGAAGGATGTTCTCGCCGAGATCCTCAGGCAGCAGGAGGTGCCCGTCCACGTGCACGTCCTGGAGGCAGCCTGCAAAGGCCGCGCCACCCAGCTGGGCAGAGCGGAGCCCGACAGGCGTCGGGGCCACGGAAGCTGTAGGAGCCGGGGCCACAGGACTGGAGGCCACACAGAGCTGGGCAGGGCAGCTCTCGTGCCAGAGCCGCAGCTCCAGGACCCCTAGGCGGAGCGTCACCTCCACTCGGTGCCAGTGGCCGTCATTGAGGGCCAGGTCCAGCAGCCTCAGGACAAGCACAGTGTTGCCGTGACTCCAGAGTGTGGCCTGAAGCGTGGCCCCCGCCAGCATGAGCTCCAAGCTGTCCTGGGTGTCAGTGCGGGTGGCCAAGGCACCAGCCGGTAGCGTGGTGCGAAACCTCAGTGCCAGCCCTAGGGGGCCACCAGCTGGCACCGAGGCCCGCAGAGAGCTCCCAGCCACCACGGAGAAGGTGGTATTCTGGCCACAGAAAGGTCCATGGGTACCAGGTGGGCAGTGGCAGGTGTAACTGTGGACCCCAGACTCGAAGGTGGGGATGCAGGTGGCAGCCGGCGGGCAAGTGTGGTTCTGGCAGCCAGTGAGCTGCACAGAACAGTCATGCCCACCCCAGGCCTCCGGGCACCAGCAGATGTAGCCCGCCACGGTGTCATCGCAGGTCCCACCATGGAGGCAGGGCTCCGACAGGCATTCGTCCACATCTTCCTGACATGTCAGGCCTTCAGGAAAGACCAGGCCAAGACTCAGCACCCAAGGCCAGAAACACAGTCTCAACCTAGAATTTCCATGCCTCTTTGGACGGGGACCTCAGTACCTATCAACCAAACCAGTTACCAAAGGATTTCTCATGGTCCCCTGAAGACTTCAGAGGCTGGAATCCAAGTTACCCCTTCCTTTACCATATCTGGTGAGTCTCTATGCCCTGTGGATTCAATCCCCTAAACACTCTCCAATCCCCTCTTTTCTCCCACCCACCTCTCCTGCCCCATCAGCTCTCCGGGCCACAGTCTAGTGGGGCTCTACTTCGCATGCCTTCAGAAACCCCTGTACATCCATCTCCACAAGTAGCCAGAGATCTACTTCTAAAGCATCACCTGGCCCGGTTCCTCTGTTGCTTAAGGTCCACTCACTCACCCTGCATTCGAGATCCCGCATGGGCTGGGCCCTACCAGGTGCTCAAGGCTCAACCCGGCTCCCTTCAAACTTTGAACTGCCTGTTCCTCCAAGCATTTCCTGGCAAGTCCTGCGTCTGGGGCTGCGCTCATACTGTTCCCTCTGTTTGGAATGCCTCCTCCTCCCTTACCCTGCCTTTCAAACTTCTTTTCATCCTGCAAAGCCCAAATTCAAAGGGCCAGTCCCCTAGAAGGATTTCTCTGACTCCCAATCCCAAGCTACTGTGTCACTCCCCACAACTTGTCCACTCCCAGGCACAGCTCCCCGGGACCCTGTATTGAAAGTACTCAACTGAGATCTCCAGGGACCCGAGTATGTCCTTGGTGCCCAGCAAAGAGCCTGGCAGGGCTTTCACGGACAGAATGATGCAATGGAGGAGGGTGTATGCATCTGTGGCACTCACGTAGCCCCTAGGCTCTAACCCCTGAGTCCCTCTGCCCTAGGCCCCCAATGCTGATTGTGAAGGGGCCACCTCCCCCTCCCCCCTAGGAGCTCCCACACCAGCTGCTCTGGGCCCAGCTTGGGTCAAGAGGCCACAGCCCAACCCCAGCTCAGCCAGAGCCTCCACAAACAACCAAAGCCAGCCCTGCTCCCATATCCCACCTGGAGAAACGCAGGCCCAGAGAAGCCATCAGGATTTGAATCCTGGCCCCAGTCAGCCCACAAACACCACAGCTTCCTTCCGGGGACAGCCAGCCCCACCTCCCCCTGCCCGAGGCCCCAGCCCTGCATACCTGCCAGGAGCCACAGGCCCCCAAGGAAGGTCCACAGAGCCCGCAGCCCCATTGCATTTCCCACAGACAGGCCGAGAGCGGTGGGCGGGCGCCAAGGCTGGGGAGCAGAGCTCCCCGCCTGGCCCGGCAGCCTCCTTCAGAGCTGGCTCAGGAATGCCAGGGACTGGCCTCCCCCACGCCCAGCACAACCCGAAGGGAGGATGAGTGTGGACGGCGGCAAGGAGCCCAGCCCCACAGCCGGAGTCACCCCTCCCGGTCCCTGACCTCCCTGTCACCCGTCAGCTGAGCTCGGCTTGGGGAGGAGCTGGGCTCCCGCTGACGCTGGTGAACCCGGGCGATGACACCCCCTCAGTAAGATGGGGACTTAGACCCCCTACCTTATGGGGCTGTGGTGAGAAGGAGATGAAATGCACAGAGAATGCTGTTCAGAGGCTGGGCGCGCTGTGGTGGCCCACTGTGTGCCAGGCGCCCCCGAGGCCACTGCTCCCAGGGCAGGACTCAGGATCTTGGCCCAAGGGGGCATAAGATGGGTTTCCAGGGCCCCCAGGAGTGTTGGCCACCTGGCGTGGGGACACTGAGCCCCCATGTCTTTGGGTGAGTGAGGTGGAAGGGGTGATGGTGGTCCTTCCCCTGGGCAGGGGAGCCTGTGCCCAGGAAGCCCGCCAGGGGGAGGAGGCGGTGTGCCCGCCTGAACAGGAATGTGGGCTGGTGTGGGGGAAGAGACGCGCACATTCCAGAGCGGGCAGGGTCACTGAGGGTGTGAGTTCCTTGGGTTCACCAGTGTCCGTGTGGAAAGGTGTCTGTGTGTCTGTGCATCCGCTGTACCCAAGGCAGAGAGAGGCCTTCTGCACCCCCAACTCCTGCCCAACAGGCCCCAGCTCCCCAAAAGTCAAGCTCACCTTTCTATCTGTAACGCCCCCCTTTCACCTCCTCCATCCTGGCCGAACTGCCTCTGTCCTCCTCCCAGCAGGGCCCCCGGCTGTGCCCAGCCCTTTGATGTCAGGTGTCTAGGGTTCTCTCTGCCCATCACTCCACATTTCTCCTGGAAAGCCTCCGCCACCCACGGCCCCAGCTGCCAGGATTACACTCCTGACCCCCAGTCTCTGGCTCCAGCCCAGACCCCTCTCCTGGGTCCCAGACCCTGCACTACCAGCCCCCACCCAGGCTCCCCGCCACGGGGAGACTCAGATTCAGTATGGACAAGGCTGAACTCCCCGTCCTCCACCCAATGTCACCCAGGGTAGAACATCAGCCAGCATCCCTGACCCCTCCTCACACCTGGAATAACCCCAGGACCTGCAGAGTGTCCCTCCTAAATGTTTCTCAACCCAGTTACCTCCATGCACTCCCACCTCCAGAACCCAAGTCCCAGCTCAGCCCCTCTTAGCTGTCACCTGGGCCACTGCACCCACTTCCTCCCTGAGCTCCTTGTCCCCCATCCGTCCAACCTCCACACATCAGCCAGAGGAACCTTCTCACCCCAGGCCCACCAACTCTGATTTTGCCCTGTCCGAGTGCCCACCCCACCCCAGGCACCTGTGTAGCCATCTGGACAGTGGCACTGGAAGCCACTGGGCAGGTCCTGGCAGCGGCCTCCATTGAAGCACGGCCTTGAGGCACACTCGTCCACATCCACGCCACAGTCGTCCCCTGCAAGAGAGCCAGCTGTGGTTCCCACCTGCACTCTCAGAGCCAGACGGGAGCAGGAAGGCCATTTCACAGCTAGGGAGACTGAGGTCCAGAGAGAGGCGCTGACTCACGCAGCATGGCACAAGATGCACGGCAGGGTCCGCCCTTGACCCTGCCCCGGTATCCCTCCCCATGCGTCTGAATGCTGGTGGACCCGCTTCCCAGGAAGGGAGGAAGGGGGCTCACCCTCAAAGCCCGGGGGGCAGCGGCACAGGAAGCCGGCAGCGTGGCGGAAGCTGAAGGCGCCCGGAAAGGTGGCCTGGTCGCCCCCGTAGAGGGCCGGATCTGAGCGCTGCAGGCACTGGCCCCCGTGCTGGCAGGGGTCCGCCGCACACTCGTCCTCATCCACCTCGCACTGCTCGCCGCTGTAGCCTGGGGACACACACATGTGGGCCTCGGGTCACATGGGGTTACTTGGCAGCACCCTCTACTTCCGCCAGGGACGGCTGGGACGACAGCTCGGAATACGGTCACCAACAGTAAGGGAGGGACACACGGTGGAGGAGCGGGAAATGACCATGGCAGCCTTCATCCGCATCATATAACTATTATTAGTGGTACCGCTGAGCACTCTGACGTGCCAGGCCCTGTGCCAAGGCTTCATGGGCATTACATCTTTACCCTACTCGCAACAACCCTAGGAGCAGGTGCTATAATTGGCCCTATTTTGCAGATCGGGAAACTGAGGCTCAGAGAAACTGCAGTCACCTGCACACCCTCGGCCTGGTCCATTGAGGGCGCGTGCGCACAGACGCACACCGGCCCCGCCCCACAAGGCCGTGCCCCGCCAACCTGAGGCTGCGCCCCTGGGGAGCGCGCACGCGCCCTCGCGCACGCACACACGCACCTGGCCAGCAGAGGCAGCGGAAGCTCGCAAGGCCATCGAGGCAGGAGGCGTTGTGGGCGCAGGGCTCCGACGCGCACTCCAGCACCTCCTGCTCGCAGCGCGCGCCCTCGTAGCCCGTGTCCGTGCAGTCGCACCGGAACCTGGAGCGGGACGCGCGGCCGGAGCTGAGCGCGCGCCCGACGCTCCAGCCCACTTGCTTCCACCACGTCCCCCGGCCTACCGCCCAGCCCCCCGGCCTTAGGGCACCCGGCCGCCCGCTCACCCGTTGACCAGGTCGTGACACACGCCCCCGTGCGCGCACGGCTGGCTCTGGCACTCGTCCAGGTCCAGCTGGCAGCTGGCGCCCCCGTAGCCCGCCGCACACACACAGCGGTAGGAGCCCACGCCGTCCAGGCACGAGCCCCCGTGCAGGCAGGGCGCTGAAGCGCACTCGTCCACCTCCGCCTCACAGGTCACGCCTGGACAGGGCGGGAGACACACACACAGAGATGGACCCCCAGAGGGAGGGCGCAAGTGGCCGGGCCAGGCCGACCTGAAACCGGCTCCGGACAGTTACAAGGAGCAGAACGTGAGGATCCGAAGAGAGCATCTGTTGGTCCATTCATCCAGAGCAGGTGTTTCTTGCGCCACCAGTGTAATGGGGTAGAGACAAGACAGACATCCCTGCCCCTTTGAGATCACAGCGGCCTAGCCCGGGAGACGAGGATTAGGTCAATATTACATAAATGACGACTGGTTTTTAATTTTGATAAGCTCAACAATGGGAACGTACTGGATCCTGTGAAAGCACGAGCCAGGGTCTTGGCCTGGGGAATTGGGAGTCAGGGAAGGCTTCTTGGAAGAAGAGCCTTTTGAAGGATGAGGGGGCATTCACTAGTCTAGGATGGGAGCAGTGCCAGCAGTTGGATTCCAAAGAGACTGGAGGTCTCTCCAGAGAGACTGTTGGTGAAGACCAGCTGGGGGCAGGGAGAGTCAGGAGCAAAGGGGAGCCTGGAGGAGGTGAGGCAGGGGTGGGAGTGCCAGGGGACCCGGGATCACAATCGGAGCTTATCCTAAAAGCTCTAAGCAGCTGAGTTACATGGTCCTATCTACCTTTTAGAAGGCTCACTCTTGGGCCGGCCCTGTGGCTTAGGGGTTAAGTGCCCGAGCTCCGCTACTAGCGGCCCGGGTTCGGATCCCGGGCGCGCACTAACGAACCACTTCTTGGGCCACGCTGAGGCCGCGTCCCACATACAGCAACGAGAAAGATATGACATACAACTATCTGCTGGGGCTTTGGGGGACAAAAAAAGGAGGAGGATTGGTGACGGATGTTAGCTCAGGGCCAGTCTTCCTCAGCAAGAAGAGGAGGATTAGCATGGATGTTAGCTCAGGGCTGATCTTCCTCACAAAAAAAAAAGAAGGCTCACTCTGCTGGCTATGAAGAGGGTGTGAGGAGGGGCCCCAGGGAGGAGGGACATACCCCGTGCCGGGATGCTGCAATAGAGTAACCAACTCCTGCTGGTTTTCCCTGCACTATCTTTTAAAACTGAAAGTCCCCTGTCCTGGGAACCCCCTGCGTCATGGGCAAAACTGAGACAGTTGGGCAGCCGTCCGAGAGGGGGCTGCAGACATGAAGGGAAATGGAGAGTCTCAGAGGTTGGAAATGTACTGCCCGAGCTCATCATGGAGCCCACATGTCACTGTCCACTCCAGAGGCCCTGCCCCAGGCCCCTAAGTGGGATTGGTCATGGGGGGCCAGGGGCACAGCTGGCTCCAGCTGGAACCTTCCCCCCTTCCCGGCTCAGTGAGCACAAAACAGGGCCCCTCCTTCCTGTGACCCCTCACTCCTCCCGCCCCAGCCCACTCCCACCCTCTGTGCCAGGGGGAGCCAGGCCCAGGCCGCCTGGAATCCCAGACTCCCCCGCCTGGCTCGGGACAGAAGGAGGAGGAGAGAAATGAGTCACAGCAGACACTGCTCCCACTCACATCCACAGCTCACCCAGAAAGCGTTACCCGAAGCATCCAAGCACAACACATCTGGGCGCACACACACCTGCTGGCACTCACACACATCATTTTGCACAAATGCATTCAGGGAGCCCAGACACCGGCAGATACTGGCAGACACCCAGAGGCCCTTTACGTGACCTCACTCACACACACACAGCTGGTATATCCAGACCCCGAGACTCAGATGATGAGCAAGATACATGGAACCTGCTTCCAAAGTCCATTTTCATCTGGGATTGAGATCCTTCTCTTCACTGTAAGTCCCCTCTCCTGGAACCCAGCACCCCAGTCTGTACCCCTTGCTCTGAGGTGACCTCAAACTGCCCCCTGCCCTCAGAGAGATTGTCTGAATTCAGGGTTGAAGGAGAACCCGGAGTGTCTCTACTGCCCTAGACCTAGCCTCGCTCCCAGACCTGTCCCCAACTGTGCCCTCCTTCCCCACTTCCAGGCTGTCGCTCCAGGATGCTCTTGCCTTGGAACCTGGACGGGACAGGGCCATACTCTGGAGGAGGAGCTAGCGTTTCCTCAGTGCCAGTCATACACCTTATCCCACTTGACACGGCAGAGGTCCCTGGGGTGCATCTCCATTCCAATTTGAACACGACCACCAGTGTCTCTTTGCTGGAGCTTTGGGGGCTACCCAGAGGGGAGGGGTCCACATTACAAGCTGAACCATCCCAGGGGTGTTCATATTCCAGAACCATCAGATGAGCCAAACAGTGTCAACATTACAGCCTGACACAGGTCTTGAGTGAGTAGATGCTAGAAATACTGTCTGGATGTGTCCTCATTAAAGCCAAGCCAGGCGTGTCTGCACTGCAGTCCCACCAGAGATGCCCGAGGGGTGTCTCCACCTCCAGTACCAAACGGAACTCTAGAAGGGACTGAAGCAACATTTGTCCAGTGCCTGTTACGTGCTGGGCACTGTGCCAGCGCTCACATACTCTCATCCAGAGCAGGCAGGATGCTTGGGGCGCTCTCAATGCTCAAGTCAAAGCTGAATTTGTGATTTTACACTCTGAGCCACTGATGGTATCCACTGTACAGACCAGGGACAGCCAGGGCCATTACCTGCATAGCCGAGGGGGCAGTGGCACTCGTAGCGATCGGCCAGGTTGTGGCATGTGGCCCCGTGGTGGCAGGGCCGGGACGCGCACTCATCGATGTCCAGCTCGCAGCGGGGTCCCTGAAACCCGGGCACGCAGTAGCAGCGGAAGCCGTTGGGATCTGGACCCTGGGGCACACACAGAGCGCCGTGGTGGCATGGCTGGGTGGCACAGCCCTGGGGCTCCGTGGGCTCACAGGTGTAGCCACCACTCTCCGTCACCTGGCACTGGGTCCCTGGAGCACATGGGTCTGAGGCACAGGTGCTCAGGGTCTCCGGAGGCACCGTTCCTGTAGAGAGAGGAAACTGGCTGGGTGGGGTGGGTAGGGGCTACCAGGACACTCCCCTCCCCACTCTCAGGCCCACCCCAGACCCCCAGCCCCAAAGCAGCAGGGGTCTGTCCAAACTCAGGAGAAGGGAGGGTGGGCCAGGGGCTCTACAAGCCAGGTCCCAACAGGCTGCACACATCTACACCGGGAACTGGGAATGGTTTCTGGAGCGCCTCCATAGCAGACAACAGGACCCGGGATGCTCTGCCTGGCTCCCGGGCAGGATTAGCGAGCAGACACGCGCTAACCCTGTGAGGGTTAGTGTTGGAGGGAGACTGTGTGCCCCACTGCCTCATCGCACCCCTGCAGCGCCCCCTTGAGGCAGGCGCTGTCATGCCCATTTTACAAGAGGGCACATGGAGCTCAAGAAAGAGACTTGAGGTCTTGCCTGAGGTCACACAGCAAGTTAGCGCTGGGACAGCCTTCAAGGTCTGTCTGCGTGTTTCAGCCCCACCCGGGGAGGAGGTCTCCTCTGGGTCTCCCAGTCTTCGGCCCACTCCCTCCCTGGAGGCCCAGGATCAAGGCTCCTCCCTCTCCGCCCTCCACCTCTCCCGCTGGGGGTCTGGTAACTCCATCCCCACGTGAAACTGGAGACGGAGGACTTGGAGGACTTCAAAGGCAGGGGCCGAGCGCTCAGCCCCTCTCCCCCACACCTCCTTCCCTCCCCGCCTGTCCCGCTGGCCTGAGAACTTCTCAGAGGATCCCTAGCCCTTATTGTATCCCCCATCAGTGAATGCCTGAGTGGCCCGCCCAGCCACCTGGCCGCCATCACAGGGTACAGGGCAGGGATTGCGACCGGGTGACTGAACTTCTGGCTCCAGCCACTGTGATGCCTCCGCCACGCCGAGCTCCCTCTGTGAGAGGGTCACCTACTGATTTGGAGGCCCAGCCACCGAGAAAGCCACCTCCCTCCCTTCCTGAGAGCTTGTCAGTGTCATGCTTTGAAGTAAAGCAGCCCTGGGTTCAAACCCAGCTCAGACAGTTACTAGCTATGAAACCTTGGGCAAGTCAGTTCTCCTGCTGAGCCTCCGTTTCCCAGTGCGGGAAAGGGATGGTAACAGTACTTGCCTCATAGAGTGTGGAAGGATTCAAAGCTTCAGGTAAGGCAGTCAAGTGCCCACTTGTAGGAACTCAGTAAGATGGGGGAGGGGATCCGCCAGCCTGCAGGAGGAACCACCCACCTGGGGCTCTGGGAGGCGCCCCTCCCCCAACCAGGTTGTCATTGAGACACTAACCAGGCCCCCGCCCAGCACCTCCCCTACCCTGGGAAGACCCCCAGATAAGGTTCGGCAGCCTCTCAGGCGTCATCCACATTCCACCAGGCAGGGCTGTTCACTGGCCGACCCCCACCCTTCCCAGAGAGGGCCAGGCAGGATGGGGGACTCGGAGACAGAGATACCAACGGATGGACCCCGGGAGAGACCGCAGCTGTCAGCCCTACCCTCGAGCACCCACAGCACCTGGGCCAGCTCAACATGGGCTCATATTCCCAAGATTCCCAGACCGAGGGCCCTAGCGCCCACCCAGGGCCAGGCATGCAGCAAGAAGGGCAGAGGGTCTGAATCACTGTCAGGCCAAGATGACCTTCTAGGGCTCTGGGGCCCACAGACCCTCTCTGCCCACAGTTCCTCTCTCCATCTGAGGCATCCATCTCCAACCCCCTCCCCCAAGCCTGGTTATATGGGTGAAGGCAGGGAGCATCTGGGCCTCTCTGAGGGGCTTAGGGGCAACTCGTCTTTCTTTTTCCCACCCAGGACCGCTGTGGCTGAGCAGTTTAGAGCCCAGTCCTGCAGGGCTAGATGGTCTGATGGTGATGGGAAGATGGTCTGGTGGGAGTGAGAAGATGGTCTGCTGGGGGTGGGAAGATGTTCTAATGGAGGTGGGAAGAAGGTCTGCTGGGGGTGAGAAGATGCTCTGATGGAGGTGGGAAGATGGTCTAGTGGGGATGGGAAGAAGGTCTGGTGGGGGTGGGAAGATGCTCTGATGGAGGTGGGAAGAAGGTCTAGTGGGGGTGGGAAGATGCTCTGATGGAGGCGGGAAGAAGGTCTGCTGGGGGTGGGAAGAAGGTCTAGTGGGGGTGGGAAGATGCTCTGGTGGGGGTGGGAAGAAGGTCTGCTGGAGGTGGGAAGAAGGTCTGCTGGGGGTGGGAAGATGCTCTGATGGGCATGGGAAGAAGGTCTGGTGGGGGTGGGAAAATGCTCTGATAGGGGTGGGAAGATGGTCTGTTGGGGGTGCGAGTGGATAGAGCTCCCTCAGGAAAGGACACAGGTTTGGGCACCAGAGAGACCCAGTTTATGGGGTTCAAACAGTGCCCACCTCGTGGGGTGTTGTGAGGAGTGAAGCCCTGGCACCCAGGGAGCCCTCAGTGAGGAGCTACGACCTTATGATCGGGGTCCCTCCAGTGCTTGGGAGGAGCACAGTAATCATAGCTCCCACTGTCATGGGCCCTGGCTGCTGGGTCCTGTGCCAGCAGGCCCTTCATTTAATCCCAACAAGGCACCTCCCCTCACCTGTGTGGCCCAAGGGACACCCCCCCCACACACCCCAATAAGAAGCTTTGCCCCCAGTTCAGAGCCCTCCATTTCAGAGCAGACGGGATCAAGCTGGGGAGACAGTGCCTGGGGGAACCAGGGAAGATGCTTCATCACCATGGGAGCAGGTGGACCCCAGGAGACAGAGTCCAGCCGCATGGAACGAGCTCGTCCAGTGAGAGCCAGGCCAGAGGGAGGGAGCTGCCTGTCCTGGGAGGCATGCAGAAGCGCGTGAAGCATGCACGTGAGGAACAGCCATCTGTCCTGTGTAATCTCGATCTTCATCTTTACCTTTTGAGGTGGATAGCGCTGACATTCCTTTTTCACAGTTGAGGAAAGTGAGACTCAGAGATGAAGCGACCTCAGTCCCACAGCCCGTGAAGGGCTGGAACACAAACCCAGGTCTCCCCACTCCAGAGCCTCCTCTCAGGGGTTTCCAGAACCATCCCAGGCCTGTATTAAGAATTCAGATTCCTGGGCCCCACTCCAGACCTAGAGGTTCAGAACCATGTGGGGCGTGAGGCCCGTGAACCTGCATTGCAACATGCTCCCTGGGGACTCCTTTGCACCTTGAGGCATGGGAACCGCTGACCTCAGGTTCTCTGTCTTCCAGGAGCCAGCGCAGGAGGCCAGGCCAGCCCAGGGCTGGGAGGCAGAGAGGTGAGGGCGGTGGGGCAGAGGAGGGGCCGTCCGGGGGCCAAGCCAGAGGGGCGTGGCCTGTTGCCAGGGCGACGAGGGGCCTGTGCTTATCTTTACAAATCCCTCCTGACCTCTCAGGCTGCCTGGGCCGACCTGGCAGGGGAGGGATTAACCGATACCCTCTCCTCGCCTTCGACCTGCAGCCCTGCCTTGGGAAGGCTCAGAGCCCGCCGCCCGGAAGGGAATTTTCTGCGTGGAAAGGACGGATTATAACAACATACCAGCAACAGTTTACTGAGTGCATACTATGCGCTCGGGGCTGTGCTACACATCTTACTTTTGTTATGCGTTATTATATTGGATTCAAACCGGAAGAGGTGGGTGCTGTTAAGAAAACTTTCGTTTTCCTAACTCAGAGACGTTGCTAACTTGCCTGGGACATCCCTCAAAACTATGAAGCAGATCGTCTCCAGACTTCTGAGAGGTCCCCATCTCCCAATGCACGTGAAATTCCTGCTTTGCAAACTTTCAGTTGCCACGCATGTATTGTCATTTCAGTGCATCCCAGCCCAGCCTCACCAGGCCCTGGAAAGCATCTCTAAGGGCTTGCACAGGAATGGAGGTTCCAGTGTCAGCCTGGGCAGAGCGGGCAATCTTCCGTCTATCCAGAACCGGCTGTTAGCAATACCCCTGTGCTTCAGGCCTCACTCGGTGCAGTGCGTAGTAACTCCTACTTTACATGCACTTGTAACGCCCTGCTGATAACAGCCAACAACTGATGAGAAGTGTCTGCGGAGGGTGGATTTCAGGAAGCTCCTTGTCTTGACAAAAGCAAGAGAGAGAATATTTCTGGGCCAGCCCCATGGCTTAGCGGTTAAGTGCCCGCGCTCCGCTGCTGGCGGCCCAGGTTCGGATGCCCGGCGTGCACAGACGCACCGCTTCTCCAGCCATGCTGAGGCTGCGTCCCACATACAGCAACTAGAAGGATGTGCAGCTATGACATACAACTATCTACTGGGGCTTTGGGGGGAAAAAAATAAATAAATAAAATTATAAAAAAAAAAAAACGAATATTTCTAAGAAGTGACCCAAGATCTCATAAGATGTGGGAGCTTCTAGCTTAAGGAAAAAAAACTGTTCATCTCATATCATGAGACCTCAGGGGTAGGACTGCATAACAGTGTGGTAGGACACAACAGCGGTTTACAAACGCTGCCTCAGAGCCTTCTGCAAAGGGCTCAAGTTACCCCCACAGGGCAGGACAGTTTGGAATACTCTTACAAATGTTGACCCCCTCATGTTAAAAGGCATCATTTTGATAACAGTAATGGCAACAATAGCTGTCACAGATTCACCGCCTGCCCTGTGCCTGGCACTGGCTTTCCCGGTGTTTCCAAACCCTGGTCTCAGGGCGCTGGAGCCCCAGAGGCGCTTCCCAGAGTGAGGGTGGGACAGAGCAGGTGGGGATCCCGGCTGTTGGCTCTTGCACTCTTAACTAGTAGTGGGCTCCCGGCTCCCGGCTCTAATTCCCTTTGAAACTGGGGATTCTCCGTGAAACCTAAGCTGGAGAAGCACTGCTTTTTCTCATTGAATTCTTGTTATGGCCTCAGAGGTACCCGGTTTGTCCCCTTCTGACGGAGGCACAGAGAAGAGATGCGACTTTACAAAGGCTGGGACCAGAGTCAGCTGTGAAATCCTGGCCCTGCCATGCACTAGCTCTGTGACTCTGGGCAAGTTACTGACCCTCTCTGGGCCTCAATTTCCTCCTCTGTACACTGGGGGTATCAGAGCCGACCTCACAGGTCTGTTGTGAGAATTAAACTCCAGCATATTAGTCCAGTAGCGTGGTGCCACAGTGACTGATGGTATTATCTATTCATTCATCAACAAATCTTTACTTGGGGCAGACACCGACTATCCAGCACATCCCGACGTTGGGGAGCATGTGCGTGGCTGCCCCTCCATCCCTGCCTCTGTCCCGCAGCCCCCCCCCAGCTCTGGTTGGAGGAAGGGTGAGACTTGGGGACTGGACTGCCCCTTTGTCAGCCGGGCTCCCCGGGGGTGCGGGATGGGGGAGGGACAAGAGAGCCCATCGTGCCCCATTGTACTCCAAGATGCCTGGTCCTCTCCTAGCAACCAGCGGGCCTTTGTGGCAGGGCGGGCCCAGGATGGAGGGGCCCAGCTTGGGGCCAGGCAGGGGTGGGCCTGGGGCCCAGGGCCTCCAGGACCCCCATCCCCTCTGGATGGAAATTGCTTTTCAAGTGACACAGTCCCCAGCCCCTATCCTCTGGGCAGTCAGGCCTTAGGTACTGGCATCCAGAAATGCTCATGCCCACAGGGCCCCCACCCTAGCTTTCTGGGATCCCCAGGGAGGGGGCACCCTGTGCAGAAATCACAGAGGGAAGGGCATCCCCTGGGAACCCCAGCAGGCTTGTGTGGGTATGTGTGTGTATATCAGTGTCTGCTCCCTTCTGTAGCATGGATCGACTTTGTGATCACCCTGCCTCAAGGGTCACGTGAACGTACAGTGGAGCGTGGATGCACATGTGTCAACACCCGTATGTTGGTGTGTGCAGGTGCAGTGCATGTACACTTAGGTGTGTGTGTGCAAGTGCACGTGTGGTCGATCTACACATGCCTGTGGACACCTGTTCATGTGGTGTGTGCCCTTCTGTGTGCCACACCAGTGTGCGGTGTGCGTGTATGTGTGTGCATGCATGCACATGTGTGATTTTTGTGTGCAGATGTGCATTTGTGTTATTTGTGTGTGCACACACATGTATAGGTGTGTGCATGGTGGGGCAGGGGACAGACACCGCAAACCAGGATTTCATGCCCCTCGTATGCAGAGAGCAGAGAGCAGACCCCCAGAGCTCCAGATTTGCCTTGGGAGCCCAGCTCACAAGCCCCCATCCCTCTCTGAGCCTCAGTTTCCTCCACTGCAAAACGGGGTCCTCGTCCTCCCCACGGCCCTGCGAAGAGGAGAGGGAGACGAAGACTTTGTGAGCCAGGCCCTGTCAGAAGCCGGAGGGGGGCCTCAGGTAGGGGCCGAGGGGGGACTTGACCCCACCCCCTGGGGGTCTGCGGGGGTGGGGGCTCCCCGGGCCGCAGTGGAGCCCAGGCCACCCGCCCTGCTGGCTCCCTCCTCCAGCAGTGGCCCGGGGGCGGGAGACTTCCCAGGCCTGGCCCCCGTAGCTATAGTGACCAGGACAAAGCGTCCCCTAGACCCCCCAGGAAGAATTCCAGGCCCCATGCACACGTGAATCCACTTGGACAAAAGCAAAAACCGCTTGGCGAACAGGGTCTGACTTCAGAAAGCCCTTCAGCTCAATCTGGGGACGCCAGGGAGGGGACAGCAGTGGACACACAAGTTCCCAAGTGCCCGGCCACCCCCTGGGGACCCCAGAGCACCCCAGCCCCCCAGTGCAGGCAGGGCTAACATGCAAATGGAGGGGATGCAGGCAGACGCCTGGCTCTCCGCGGTCTTCTTCCCCCTCCTGCCCCTTTCCACCCTACTCCACTGGGCTGGGGTCTGCTGCCCCACCCCGTGCCCCCATGTCAAGAGCAAAGACCCAGTTCACCCCCCCGATGACTTCTACCCCAGACCCTGCGCTAGGACACAGCCCACCCCACTCAGAATGTCGCAGACAACTCCCGGCTCGCCTGGGACAGCTCATCCCACCTCACAACTTGAACTCACCACAACTGCACCCACAACCAGCACGGGACTCACAACAGACTCTGGGGCGAGGCTCATGCTACCTGCAGCTCCCCAAACTCAGGCCTCACAGGCCAGAACTCCCCAGCCCCAGCCCCCTCCCTTTCCGTACACAACACTCCTCCCAAGACACACAGCCCACCCCATGACCCGAATCACCGCCGGCCCACGGTCCCCCTCACAAAGCCCCCCTCGACACGCAACAGCCCCCAAGTCCCAGGACACACTCCCTCCACACGAGTTCCAGGGGCCTGCAGCAGCGCACCCTCGCACCCCACAACTCGGGCCTGCACCCCAGCCCACGAGGACAGCCCCAGGGCCTGGGGTGTCTGCTTTGGGGGACAGACTCTGCCCCAGGCCCCCCCAAGTCTTGTGCCCCAACTCACCGGCCAGGAGGGCGAGGGCAGGGGCCCAGAGCAGCGGCAGCAGCAAGAGAGGGGCCGGAGGCCTGGGGTCCCGGGTCCTGGGCCCAGCCAGCGCCATGGCAGCACGCTCCGCTGGCGGCTGTGGGAACGGGCGGCGGGCTGGCTCCGCACCCCCCTCTCCCTCCAACCAGCACTAATGCCGTGGACAGAGGCCCGGCCCTCCCTCCCCTCCCCTCCCGCCTCCTCCCGCCCAGGCCCTCCAGGCTGCTCCACCCCCAGGATGGACTCTAGACAAGGGGTCCGGCCCACCCCATCTCCCCCAGCCCCAGGGCTCCAGACAGGCCTCAGGGGCCCCTGTGGTCTGACCTTGTCCCACCTTGTCTCGGTGCCCACCACTCTCTCTGTCCTGACTCCCCACCCCCACCCCGCTCTCCTCCCACCTCTCAGGTCGTGCTGCCTCAGCCTCTTCGGAGAAATTTCTGTTCTGTGGGGCTGTTCTTCTCACTGATGATGCCAGCTACTCCCAAGTCCTCGGTGATCCCACCCTGCTGGACACCCCCCCCATCTCCTCTCAGCCCGGGCCTCCCTCCCCAGCCCAGGCCTGAGTGCCCAGCAGCCTCCCAGGCCTCCCCTCTGCTCAGGAGCCCCAGGCCCTTCCCCTCAGCTTGATCCTCCCCGGTGCTCCCCACCTGAGCCAGGCACCCCCCCCAGCAGCCCAACACCCCCCTCAACATTCAGTCAACCACCAGCTCCTGGTGGCTCTTCCTTCTCAATGTCTCTGGATCCCACCCCCCTTCACTCCCTGGCCCCAGGGTGCCACACACAGCCCCTCCCATGGCCCTCAGGTAAGGCCCCTGTCTCCACACTCACTACCCCATCACCAGCCAGACCCAACCTCTTCCTTTTCTCCCTTTGGCCTAGATCTTCGCCTCTGCTGTTTGCAACTCCAGACACCTCACTGCATTCCAAGGCGGCCCATTCTACTGAAGGGCAGCGCTAACTGAGCAAGCTTTCCATCTCCCCTGCTGGGAAGTCCTTCTTGTTGTCTAACCTTATAGTCTCCTGCTGCACTTGATGTTTGCTTGCTCCAGGCTGGAGAGGGGGATGTTGTTTGGGTGGAGAGGAGGAGTTCTTCAGGGTACCTGGACCCAGGTCATCTCAAAGGCACTACAACGTCAAAAATCCCACTCTTCCACTACACTCAGCGCCAGGGGAGGGGGAATCCCCTTGCTGAAGGGACTTCCTGAAGCGAACCACTGGCCCTGCCAGAGCATCTCCATTTGGCCTAATTCAGTGACCACAGACGCAGGGCACCCAGCCCTGTGCTGGGCTCTGGGATGTGTCCCAGCCCCCAGAGGGCACAGTCTGGAGACAGACCTGAGCAGCCATTGAAGGAGTGCCAGGCTGTCCTAGAGGGATGGGCAACGGTCCATGGAGTTCAGGGAAGGGAGCAGTGGCCATCACCTGGGGCGTGGGTGGCTGGTGGCCATGCTGGCCCTCCAACCCGGGTAAGTGCTCAGAGAAGGACCTGAAGGACCTGGGTGGACCCCTTGTCCACATCCCTGCCCATCTCCACCCTGGAGGCTTGGTCCCTGAGGTGTGTGTGGGGGGGAGGGAGGCGGCAGGGGGTGGTCCTTTGCTCCTTGGTTTCTGGGACCCTCAGCACTCCCAGGTCACCTTTAATTCCCTGCCTCTCACATACACCAGGAGCTGCCCTTGGCCGCCGCCCCACCCCCACCCCTGCCACGTGGAAGCCCCTCTTGACCCTGTGGGAAAAACATAGGCCCACAGCTAAATAGGTCCGGGTTTGAGCCCAGCTCTACCACGGGCTAGTGACTGCCTTCTCTGGGCCTCAGTTTCCTCATCTGTAAAATGGGAGTAATAACAGTTCCTGCCATGGAAGGCTTTAATGAGCTGAAGTGGCTGTGAGTTTTTATTTTACTTTTCAGAGATTCCCGAGAGATCCAAGCAGCCCCAGAGGCGTGGGGACAGGAGAGGCCAAGGCTCCCACAGTCCCCCGGGTCTCCGGATACACAGACACAAACACCCACGCTGTTACTCCGAGCCTGGAGGTCAGAAGGGCGCCGTCCGGGCTCCCATCCAAGCCCCGCCCCCAGCCCCTGTCTTGCAGCCGCCAAGCGCCACCTTGTGGACAGACCTGGGAGTGCCCTGTGAGGTCTGGAGGGCGCCGCGGCGAGCCCATGAGGATGGGACGGATGCAGGAACCCAACAGCACCGGCAGAGGGAGCGCCGTGAGCGGGAAGGAGGGGGCTGGGGGTCACGGGGCGGCAGGCAGGACTGAGGTTGGACGGGGCGACCATCCCGGCGCACTCCCTGGTCCGGATCTGAAGAAGAGACGGTAAGAGCGGGCCAGCCCCTCTGACGAGTTGGTCCGGTAGGAGGATCCATTTCCCTTATTCTCCCGACCTGGAGGGGAAAGGAAACCAACATAACCTCATTTTACTCCCTTAACAACCTGCGAGGTCAATATTGACCCCATTTTACAGATGAGGACACTGAGGCTCAGACAAGTGAGACTCACTGCTCAGGGTCCCACAGCTAGTCAGTGCAGGGGTGGGATTCGAACTCGGGTCTCTCTGACGCCAGTGCTTTCCACTCCTGGAATCTCTGACTCTAGGTTGACTAACTGTGCTCCACTCAGCTCAGGAATTATTTGCTGCCTTCTCCCTGGTCAAGGGCACCCAGTCTTGGGGTAGGTACACCCCCCGGGGCCTTAGGTAGACGTGGCAGTAAAGCTTAGTGGTTGGGGGGCCTCAGTGTTGGCTTGAATCCTGATTCTGCCCCGTGCCCTTAGGCAAGATTGTGTTGGTGTGTTTTTACTTTTCTGAACCTCAGTTTCCCCATCTGTAAATTGGGATAATAATAGTGTCTGCCTCAGGGTACTTCGAGGAGTGGCCTGCTGCCGCCAGGGCCTGGTTAGGGGAGGGGATGGTGACCCCGGGCTGCTCCCCACTGAGGAGATCACCAGGAGGGACGCCTCCAGACCCTTCCAAAGTGACCTCTGCCCTGGGTTCCCCCACCAGGGTCCTGCATCTCCCTTCTCAGGGGCCGGGTTGGTTATTCTGTGGGCACTCCCCACCCAGATCCATCCTCCCCGCTCTCTGCCCTGCTGACCCCTGTGGATTTCCTCACGGCTCCCTTCTCTCTGGCTCCTGGTAAGGGTGGGCCAGGGGAGGCACGGCAGGAGACGGAGGGCAGGAGGAAAGAGGGAGGCCCGGGTATTTCTTCCTCCTCCTTCTCCCTGCACTGGGGCGCTTCTGCCTACAGCTCCAGGGGGGCCCCTCTGTCACCTCAGCTCTCCCTGCTCAGGTACCGCTGTTCCCTCTGTGGCCCAGTGGGGGGCCACCTTCAGCCCTGACCTCACCGGGTCTCTCAAAGGCCTTCCTCACTCCCTTCTTCTTGGAACCCTCTCCCCTGGCTTCCCTCCCACCTTCCAGGCTGCTCTTCCTTGCTCTTTCCTCCTAAAATGTTGGGATGCATCGGGGTCTGCTCCCAGCCCCCTGCCCCTCTCACACGTCCCTCCCTGGGTGAGCACGAGCACATCCAGGCTTCCTGACCAGCCCAGCTCTCTTAGGAGCTCTCCACCCGTGGTTCTTAACCCTCCTCCTTGATAACAAAGATCCTGTACCACTCTTTATTACCCTGAAGTGAAATGACATACATATGCGTGTAATTCCCGAAAGAAAACCATCCCACTACCCTAACAAATACAGAGTGAGCCATTGTGGGCTGCTGGTGAAGTGCACAGACACTGGTTCGAATCCTGGCTTCTCCGCTTCCCAGCTGTGTGACCTTGGGTAAGTCACTTAACTTCTCTGTGCCTCAGTTAGCTCCCCAGTAAAAAAGGGATTTTTTTCCATGCAGCACTTTACTGGGTAGAATTGTTATGAGGATTAATGAGTAAATTATTCATGAAGCATTTAGAACAGTGCCTGGCACATGTTAAAAGCTAAATGAGTGTGGGTTAAATTTTAGATGATATGTATTTCAAATTGTAACTACTCTTATTGCCTGCACTAGAAGACGTCATAAAATAACAAGAAGCTCGCTCCTCTACGCAGAACCCCCCTGAATGCGACAGCCACAAATGCAGATCAGTACGGAGAGTGTCGTGTCGGCATCTCAGATACCACAAGGCACGTTGACATTAAGTATGTAATTTTCCAAGATGGTGCAACTCTGGATAAGGTTCTGAACAAGATAAAGAGCGATCTCTCTCCAATTTACATGGAAGTTGTATTTCTGGCAACTTCATGTGTGTTAAAATTCAGAGCATCACGCAAGAATGCTGTGTGTTTATATGCCAGCCGGACGTGGGCTCTTGGCACAGACACTGACGAACAGGTGTTTTTCCTCTGCATGAATGTCTGGCAGGACATTCAAAATCAAAGGGCACAGGGGACATTCTTCGTGGTGTGCACTGTCCTGCACATCGCAGGGTGCCCACAGTCCTGGGCCCACCCACTCGATGCCATCGGTGCCCCCCAGTCACCATGAACATTGAAAGCACCCCCACGAATTCCCAAAACAGCGCCCAGGAGGCCCCTGCATTCTACACCAACTGCCAGAGGGACTTTTCCAAATCCCAAACTGTCCCTCTTGTCTGTTGACTCCCAGTGACCCTCAGGCCACGTCCAAACTCCTGAGCCTGATGCCCGGAGTCCTCATAATCCAGCTCCCTGCTTACCTCCCCACAGATGCAGACCCGTACCCTCGGCCCCACCCTCTCCCCGACCCCCCAGACACACACACACGCACACACACGCACGCACGCACACATGCACGCACGCATGCACACACACGCACGGCTGTGTCTTTGCCCCTGGGTCTGCTCCCTGGAGAGCCCCCCCCACCGCCAACGATCCAGGGTCAGCAGAAGCTGGAGATTGTG